CAGGTATGCCATCCTGAAGTTGCCAACCAAGGCAGAGGGTGGTGTAAAGCTGTGAGATTCAGACTTAGTTTGTATGATTCAAAAGGATTAAACTATATTTTTTTGATAGTTGCCTTGCCATATTTTGCCATGCTGTCATTGTTTTCTGGATATCTACACCGGGATCCTGGCGTAACGTGTAGTCTCCAGTAGAAGGCGTGACATTGTGCAATCATAGGTACTGTTTCAGGGACACGTCCGCCAGGGGGATCTAATTTGCTTTCTAGTCTGGCTTGAAAACAATCACCTTAGCTGGCACTTTGAAAATGCTGCCCTGACTTGTATGTCCAAACAATTGGAAGTGCAGTGGCAAAAAAAACATATGCACGTAGCGTCAGGTGTTGTTTATAATATAGAATATTTGCACGCATCGTCAGGTGATGAATAATTGTTGAATATTGATGTGCAAAAAAAGGACGATAGACAGAAGCTAGTGATGAAAGCAAGTTATGAAACCTGTTCAACTCTCCGGTTTGGAGAAAACAGGACCTCCCTGCTCTCCAAAGCCTCTACCAGCACTCTCGCGAGTTCTTCCAACGGCCCAACAAATACAAGGTCCGACGGCTCCACAGGAAGGGGGCGAACGGCGAATGGTTGGGCGAACAAAAACGGTTCCGGGTTAAAACCAAGGGAACAAAAGACACCAAGGGTTTTTGTTGCTTTTCTTTGTTTCCAAGGGTGAAATAAACTATGGGTTCAGAACCGGGGTTTGTGCCGGGTTCAGAAACTTGGTTTGTCGGTTTCGGAAACTTCGGGCTCAGAAACTACTTCAGAAACTATTTGGGTCATCAGAAATGGGGCGAGGCAAGGTGGCCGATTTCGGCGTGTAGGAATTTCCATAAGCCCTGTCGAGTGCAGACTGTAGTGCGTCCCTGAAAACCCATTCTGGGACAGAAAGACTATGAAAGAATAGAAGAAGACGACGCATGGTATGCATCAGCTGGTTGTGCCACCGTCGGAAAGTGAACAGGTACAACGCCCAGTCGGTGGAGTGATTTTACGTTGGGTTGCGAAGACATGACGTTCACATTCCAACGTTTCCAACGCTTGCTGATCCTAAAGGCGCCTAAAGGCATCCTCACCAAATCTGACAATTGTCCTTCTGTTTATTTTTTTACATCAATGTTCAATTATCCTTTCTTTGGATGTCGGCACCATCATTTAAAGCTTCCCATGTCCCATCCTTCGCGCAACAACCAAACAACGTCCCGACTTCAGCGGCTCTGACGACGCGGCATCCGTCCGTGACGAGCGGTGACGCAGTGACGACGCCGACGGGTCTGACCGGTGCACTGACTTCTTCGCCAGGAGACCTTCAAGTGCTTTCCCATCCCAGGTGGTTACCTGACGCCCTACCCAGGCACCCATGAGGCCTGTTTGACTGCGTCAAGTCGAGAAAGCACGGGCCGGAGAAGACGTGGAGAAGACTCTGGAGTTGGTGGGGTGGGGTGCGAGTGTTTCTTCAAGAAAGTGTAGATATTTGGTTTGGAATCAGCGGTGAACGTCCACAAGAGTAGGTTTCACTGAGGGACAAAGAAAGGTGGTAACTTTTATGCGCAAACCAAAAGCACGGGCAACATTGTGAACCCGTGTGACGTGTGCTTGACCAATGCCTATATAATTTATATGTCAATGACATAAACAATTATGCAAAGATTGTTCTTCACTTAAGGTTCAACAATAATTTATTTGATCCTGATCCCGTCAAGTTTTGCCCTTGCATTTGTCGATTTGTGCGAGTGTTATGTTCTTTTGCAGAGCCTATTGAAACACGAAAGCTTGCAGGAATTCCTGAAGACTAAAGTACGACAGGAATGGTGAAGATCCTCGATCCACGCTGTGGTCCCCTTGATTGCATTGCAAGAACACTCCAAGACTCTAAGAATAGCAAGTCTTCAACTTGATAAACCTATGACTTTAGATGGTCAATCACACAACTTGCGAATGGCCTTCCATGCTGCCATGTGCAAAGCTGTTACCCCAATCTGTGGTTTGCTGGAGCCTTGACAGCTCCAGCCTCAAGCAGCAATCCCACAACTCAGAAAAAGAAACCGTTCTGGGCCGTGAAGTGAAAAGCTGTTGTCCCATGTGTCGATGCTGCATCCTTGACAGCTCCAGCCTCGAGCACCCTCCTCACAACTTCCCAATGGCCGTTCTTTGCTGCAATGAACAAAGCATAACAAAGATATTGCCCCACTTGCCGTTGCCGCATTGAGGCCCGCTCCAGCCTCGAGCAACAATCAATTCACATCATCGTTCTGGGCAGCAGTGTAGAAAGCCGTTGCCCCATGTTCAGTTGCTGCATCCTTGCAGCTCCAGCCTCGAGCAACAATTGCACGTTCTTTGCTGCCATGTGCAAAGCTGTTGCCCCAAATACATCGTTTGCATCTTCGTCATCTCCAAGATTGATGTCCTCATACAGTAACTTCCAACTGTCACAGTCATCTCTGTCTGCAATGTGAGCATACATCTTTGCTGGATCTCTGTCATTTGTCGTTGCTGCATCCCTCGCAGCGCCAGCCTCAAGCAACCATCCTACAACTTCCAGCCGTTTTGGGCTGCAAATCAACCTCTCTCGAGTCCTGTGGGCTTTGGGAGTCCTTCCATGTGAGCCAATATATGATTCTTGCCGTCTCATCAGGGCCACCAGGTGTACATTGTACATTCGATAGTGGTCCTAGAGGCAACTCAGCCTCCAAGTTGCCAAGCTCGTTATTGAATTCTTGGAGCACCCAACCCGAGCTGAAAGAAGTTGCTTCAGGAAAAAGCACAGCTTTTCCCACTTTCCGCCATGCGCAGCCATTCCCAAAGATCCAGCCAATGCAAATTCGTCACTTCCGTTCCGGTGCTCCTTTTTAGATTCGAGATTTTCTTTGTCGCCTGGAAATGGTTAAGGGACTCCAAAAAGGTCACTTTGAAGACGCTGGTACAGTATACTTGTTTTGTTCAATCCCGTTTCAATCCCCCATGATGAGGTGGTTATATGTGGTTTTACCATGCCGATGGGGGTGCCCAGCAAAGCTAGAGTCTACATTATCGGTTTCCCTCGTGAGCGAATGGCTTCGAGAGAAACAGCACAGCGGACACTGCACTTGCGAACGGACACTGCTTCGATGTGCTTCGATGTACATGCGGCCTCGAAGTGACTCTGTGTGCAGAGAAGGACTTCAACCTCACATAGTCTCACAGAGTCTCACAGACTATGCATGCATACATATTGCTGTCATTTGATGTTGCAACAGTTTTTTACCTGTCAAAAATCCTGCGCTGTGTATTGATTTATTCTTGTTTACATCCAAGCCATGTCCTTTTTTCCCACCTGGCCACCCGCATCGCCCAGTTCCCCGTCTCGTTAGATCTTCGAGCTGCGTCGCGGACTGCCACGATGCCCCAGCGAGTTGCTACAGGCCGCGAGCTCGCTCGGCGGGGAGGGAGCGTTGGGGAGCTGACTTTGCATTAGGGGAGACCTGGGTGAGCAAAGTGAAGACCTTTCTAGAAGACTTGAACCGTTTTAATGCATTTTGATGACTCTTGGTGAATCATGCTTCCTCCCATTTGGAGTCTAAAACCATTTTAAACGTTCATGCATTTCTTGAAATATAGTATAATCATTCAGGTGATGAAGCTGGAATATTTTTTGAGGGTCAGACATGCGGAGAGTTATTCAGGAGGTTGAGTGGGACAGCTGGAGCAGGTAGGGCGACTTTGTGTTTGTCCTTTCATGTTCTTTTTGGGAACGGAATCGGTACTGCTGATGGACCTAATCTGGAAAGCCTTAATCTGGATCGTATGTGGTATTCCGATAGAGTGCGCATGGATATGCGACCACAGCAATCCGGAGTTGCTTTTCAACACCATAGTCTCTGTTTGAACAACTCACTTTTCACCATCCAGAATTGATTTTCAGCTAGATCCCAAGTACTAAGAGGGGTCGACTTCTGGATCCAAGAGTCCAAGATGCTTCAGAAGAGCCCGTTGCGTTCACTCAAGTAAGCCACGGTGCTGGGTAACCTCTTGGCGATGCCGGTGGTGTTACAACCTGAACCGTTCGCATGGACGGCAAAACCCTATACGTGGACTAATTACCTCAGGTTCCATGTGGGGAGACCCGAACCGGGCAGGATTGGGTGAAAGGAAACATCGTAAACCATTATTTTCACTTCACAAACTCTAGATGTGTTTGCTGTTCCCTTGAACCATCTAGGTCTAAGCAATTCTGGGATGGAGAAGCAAGGAATTGCTGTAACCCCATACACAGGGGTTTTAAGTCCCAATTTCTCAAATGTACAGACATGTGAAGACTGTTTGGAGGTTCCCAAATGGCTATCTAAAGGTGCTATCTAAAGCCTCCAGATGAACCGTCCGCAGCCCACATCGGCTCACTGTAGCCGACCGGCCTTTCTGTTAGTGAACCTCTTTCCCGGTTCACCGGGCTGTGCCCGCGTGACCGGCGGGCGTTTCACGAGCCATTCAGCCCTGGAGTTGTCAGGGTGTTTCACGAGCCAGTAACCTTATTGGCATAGACTAGCAACATGGCCAGCAAGACGACGTGGTGGAAGGTGAGGTGGTTCCGGGGCGGAGCAGCGGTGTTCAGTGATAGTTACGTTGTTTCCTTTGATTGTGGGTGGTGTAGAAACCCAGTTACTCAATCTATGTTAATCATGCTCAACAATGCAACACTATAGTAAGCATTTTGTTTAGGGGGTAATAATTACATAAAATATACGTGGGTTCTGAATTCGTATCATTGGGAATATTATTTGTCTTATTGTCCAAGTCCAGTGTGTTTGGGAATGCAGTTGTGATGTTGTAGGACCTTGTAGGATTAACGCTGCAAGTTGACACCTAAAAACTATGAAACCATGGTAGCTTCTTCATGTTGGTGGGTTGTTTCTCAGCGGGGACAAGGTTTGTATCAGCAGGCAAGCAGTCAAAGCAGCTGCCATCGCTGCATCCAAGGCATGCTCCTCCGATGGCTGCCAGCCGCCGCACTGCTAGCTGTGCCGCTCGAGGCGGCATTGCTGAACCAAATTGCTACTTGGTTGGATGATTACTCCCTGGCCAGGTGATCGCAGTGTTTCAGATGTTGCTATACTTCAGGCAGAAAGACAGGTTAGCTGGGAAGAACCCTAGCTCAGACATCCAGAAGTCAGACAGACAAAATGTTATGCGTCTCCAAAATTACAAATACATACAAATACCTGTTTACTTTGCACGAAAAGATCCGCAAACCCTCAAACATGTCAGTTTCCTACCAAGAAAAACGTGTTGTTTGTTCCCCACTCACCACCCATCTCGCACCAACGCACCTGGAGTCTCGTCTCGGCCACACCACCTCAAAGCACTGGTCGAACTGATTTGAGGTCGGAGGCCATCGCTACTAGGCTGGAGGCCATCGCTAGTAGGAGTAAGAGTGCCTCAAAGCACTCTTATCATCTTTGATCGAAGTCATACTTCGATGTATGCAGCTTTGCTCCACTGTGCAGCTTGCGCTGCTTGCATACTCCACTGTCCAACTTGCAAAGTTGCCTGGCCTGCTTGCTTGCCGCGCCTGCTGATGGGCTGATGGGTGGTCTGCCAGCTTTAAGGCCAAGCAGAGACAGACCCAGCAGGGACAAACTCAGCTGCTTCAGCATCCAAAGACGAGTGGTTGGCACGTGCGCCAACGCCAAACACGAATGGCAAATCCCAACCTACTTCGTAGTGGGCTTCAAAGGTTGGCATCCAGCAGTGTCCGTGATTTCTTGACAGGTTCCCACTTGTTGCAAGCAATGCCCAGTCCCCAGTGGACCAGAGGCAACATGTTCAACATGTTATGCCAAATAGGCATTGGTCCTTACTTCATTGGTCTTTGTGCTGGTTTATGCTGGCTTTGATGAATGAATGATCATGAATGTATGCATACTTCTAAGTCTCAGGCTCAGGATCGTCGGCTAGTACATCTCGTCGGTGCAGTACTTCGGCTTCTTCCAAATCATCCCGGTTCGAAGACTTTGAGGAAGGTAACCTGTTTCTGCGGTTTGACAGGAGAACACTCACCTTTTGCCGATCTATCGCCGCGACGCGGTTAGCGTTGCCTCGGAAAACAAGACGCGTAGCGTTGCTTCACTGAGAACGGACTGAAGTTCTCGTTGGACTGAGTATCAGACTGTCAGATTGCTTGCCATACGATGGTCGTTTTCCTCATGGCAAACAAAAACGTCTATAGCGGGTTTCAGCTGATGTGGCCTGATGACCGAGTGTCATCCCAACCGGACTCCCCAAAGAGAGATTTTGGGCGCACCTCAAGAGGATGCACGCCTCAAGATCAAGGTGCAAGCTTGTTTTTTGCACTCTGATGTCACCATGGTCACCAGAGTGATGAATCGCACCAGTCATTCCAAACAAAACCTGTCAGTGTTTGTGTGCGAGTCGATGTTGGTCCTGTTTGGTTCCATAATTGGATCATCAACGATATGGATGTCCTCCTTACGGCCTACGGCCTGTCCTCCTACGGCCTGTGATATCGGGTGTGAAAACAAACCCCAAAACAGTGTCCGTTCACCGCCGCATGTGCTCTTTGCGGTTTCTATGTAGGCTCACTGGGAAACGGAGAAGCAAGCCTCCCTGAAGGGGGTTATATCGGTAAGATCGTTGTGGTAGCATTTAGACTGATGATGATGGTTGCACGGGGCTTTCCTGAATGACCATAAGATTACAATATAGCAATTGCAGTATCTTCCAACCCTAAGCCCTGCAAGACGTGTTTTCTTTCTCCTGTTTCAATCACTCCGCATCGCTGAGGATCCCCTCCCGCCGCAGACATCGCCCTTGACCTTTGCGCAATCACTCAAGGAGGCGCAGGACACGTTTGCCGCCGCGGACAAGTCCGGACCACCCAGCAGGTGGCGCCAGACGTCCAGAGACGGACGTCGGCAAAGGAGGGCGGGTCGACGGGCGTCATGGGGCTTTTGGACAGTACGACAAACTGGCGACCCGTGACCCGAACTTGGTTCTTGGGGAAACTCGTCCAAAAACTCCACCATGGGTCCAGGAAATGGCAATCTATTTTTAATACTACCTACCGGCCATCACCCTCCAACAGGCTTTCCGACAGATGCCCAGAAACCTGTTAATTAGGTTGAGGGATCCCTCACTCAAGCCTCAGAGACGACCTCCAAAACGCCGGTCGATCGGGTCGGTCTCCGCGCAGTCCCAGGTTCTTCGCGGCGGCGCGCTTGGAGCACGCTCGAGACCGTGAATCGGTCGAGCGCATGGAGCGCGCCGTGGCTCAGCACCAGGTGGACAGCTGTTTAGCTTTTGAGAGCGAAGTGGCAAAGTGTGGCGACACGGTAAACCTGCGCTAAAATGGGGCAATATAATATATATATATATGGGAGGATGTGTGGTCTTGGAGTTGATCTATAGTCGAGTCAGGAGCTTTTGTTTGGAGCTGAAAGCATCTGAACATATCTGAAAACTTCTCGTTTCGTGTTCCAATGCGCGAGTTTATTTAATTCGTCACTTTTGGTGGGTTTGTCAGATGTTTGGTGTTCTCTACGGCTTGAACAGGTAGAAGGCTTGTTTGGCCTGGATTTGCTTTGGATAGTTGTTCCAGATAAACCAGCATCGCATATTTACGTTCACTCATTAAAATTATTCCATGGCCAAAACCGATACTCAGAACTACCCAACGGTTCGGCAGCTCATGCTGCCATGGGTACCTGTCAATGCCCACGATGTCGACGATTTCTGAGCAGGCGGAGATTCCAGGCATGGAGTTCGCAGGGATGCAGGCGGGTGCAAATCGGAGCGTTTTGCGTGGAGTGGAGACAGGGGGTAAGATCAACATGTGTTTGTGATGTTAATAAGTGAGTCCTCTTTCAGGCTTTCCAATAGTAAATTTGCACTAGCAACTTCCAATGAAATAAATTCCAATCTTGCCAGTGTTCCTAGCCCTGTGAGAGTTCATTTCTTCTTCGCTAGTCACCAGACACATTTTTCATCACGCGGCTTCACTGAGGACCCACTCCCTTTGCCGCAGATACCGCAGCGGACATTGCCCTCGGCGTTCGCGCAGTCGCGCAAGGTGTCGGAGGAGCGCGGAGTAAAGTTGACTTTGAATGGACTCATACCAGTGGGTTTATCCTCGGGAAGCTCACGCTAAATACGGTTTGGGAGGAGGTGTGGTGTTGGAGTTGATCAAATTAGTCAACCTATAGGAGCAATATGGAGCAATTATTACAATTATTTGGAAGTGTTTTTTGTGTGTTCAAAGTTGAGAGTCGTTTTTGTGTGTTCATTCGTGAGTTTGGGTGGTTTAGTAAGCATATATTCTGACCCTTTGAAATGTCAAGCAGGACCTCGTAGAGGGCTTGCTTGGCCTGGCTTTCCTCTTCAAAGCTTATAACTTATAACTTTTGAGAGGTACCAGTCCAGACTTCCTCGGCAGGGTGGTGGTTAGTTGCTGGCTACAGATATACCAAGACCAGCAAGCATACATTACAATTACATTTGATCAATTGAGATCCGTCCGAACATGTCGGAACCAAGAGCTTCATGTCGGTAGGTCTTACATCGAGCATACATTGAAAACCGATGAGGAAAACCCAAGACCGATGCCTTTGTATTATACATACGTACATATACGTACGTACGTACATACTACTACTACTACTACTA